GGCTCGGCGATGTTCATTTCAACAAAGTTCACGTAATATCACCCTCAAGCAAACTTTGGGTTAAATAAGATGATCTGACAAACGGAGCTTGAGATCCCCGACTGTTTGGATACCTCAGCCATAACAAAACTCTATTGTGGCCAATGTTTCATAAAATTCTTAACAAAGCATCGAGAAATATTGAAAAAATAATTTAGGAAAATAAATTGGCCCTCACGTATCCACTTGATATACGATCTTATGCAGCTTCAAAGCTTAATTATCAAGAGTACAGTGAAATTCACTTTGCACATGCTGTAAGCGCAATGCTTCATCGATATATCTTAAAAACATCCATCCTGAAGTTTCCCCATCCCCAAAACTACTACGTCGGATTTTTTTTTGTAGGTAAGTTGATTCATTGGGTTTATATGTTGAGTCATGTTTCGTAGCTAACGACACCCGATCGCATTCCAACCGCTGCCGAATATAAACAATCATCGCTTATAAATGCCTCTATCATCCCAATCTTTTCTCGAGCAAGATAAATTTTTCATATGCTTTTTGTATTTTCCGTTTTTTTTCCGCACTAGTTGATAATTCGTCATAACACGCCTGCTTTTAAATCCTACATTCAATTGACTTCATCCCTATATTGTGTCTACGTACTTCTTTCAAAATTTTTTAAAATCAGAAATACTGCTTTCCAATCTGATAAACTGCTAAATCCTACAAGGAGTCCACATTGATTACTGAGCTAACACGCCCAAATACCGTTCCAGACTAGTCATGAAAGCAGTTCTACTAGTCATCGGGTTGTGCATTACAATGTGCAGTGCCGAAAAGAAGAAGAAACCTCTTTGCGAAATGTGTGAAGATGTAATTCAGACGTTAGATAAACTACTGGAGAAAGGAGAGGATTTGGAAAAGGTATTTAATTTTTTGTGCTCAAACGCTCGACCTTCTCAAATTTTGTTTTCAACCTTGCTTCTAAAGTAAAGTAAGAAAAGTGTTTAGTTCCACATTTGTTAATTCTACCGTGGCAAAAATGAGACAAAACCTTACCATTCTTTGACAACACGGATTTATTCGAAGTTCCCCATGTAAAGTAGACAGTTTTACTCCGTTTATTTTTTTTTTTTTTTGAACTCGCTGCGGGGTAAGAAACGACGGTTAATCAGTTTTAACACGGGAAACATACTCAAGTCCAGAATAGCTATGAATGCTGTCGATTAGAAATGAAGCGAGAAGAGATGAGCACAAATGACGCCTACGCCATAATTATAATAAAGCGGTTGAAAGAGCAGGATCCTGCTACACTGTTTTTTTTATAGTGATTTCTGTATATTCTCTCTGAACCATAAGCGAGCAAATAGTGTTTTTGAGAGTAGTTTAGGATGTCACATTGCATAGAAACGCAAA